CAGCCGCGACTCCGGAGGGAGGAGGCGGGGCGCGGCGGCCGGAGGCGCCAATTGGCCGAGCGGGAGAGGGACGTCGCTGATTGGAGGGGGCGGGTCATAGCCGTGGATTATTGGCTGAGCCATTGTGTGGGTGGAGCTGGGGAATAAAGACGCGTGCTGAGGTGGGCGGAGCTGGAGGGAGGGGTTCGGAGTAAGGCCCTAGCTGATTGGAGAAACGGGAAGGAATTTATGGGCGAGAACAGAGGAGGGGCGGGGCTGAGCATAAAGGAGGCGGGACGGAGTCGAAAGGGCGCGGGCGGGGCGGGGCTAAATTGAGGAGGCGGGACTTACTTCAAAGGACAATTCTGGTTGGGCTGGAGAGGAGGCAGGGCTGATGTTATGGGGAGGGGTGTGTAGAAAAGCGGGCGGGGCCAAATAAAGGGGCGGGGTCAATTACAGACACCGTGAACTCACTACTCTGGGTCAGAAAACTTGGGTCATTGTACACATGGGGAGGCTGAGCCTTCAGACAGTTTGCGCCTACAGAAAACTAGGGCGAGCGTGTGTTCTCCCTCCCATCTCTGTCGGATCTTCGCACCTCTAACCCGGGAGCCGCAAGGCCCCCTGGGACTTTAAGGCTTTCAGGGGTTGCTATGGCGTTGGGGGCGGGGCTAAAGCCTGGGCCGACTCGGCGGTTTGGCCAGGGGGAGGGGCTTTTTGAGGCCCCGCCCTGGCCCCGCCCCCGGCGCCATGCGGCCCGTCTGGACTGCTCTTTGGCTGTACGTGGCCTTGCTCCTGGGCCTGGACCTCGTTGGCCCCCTGGCTGTGGGGTGGGCCTCAGCCCGGGCCCCCATATATGTCAGCAGCTGGGCCGTGCGTGTGTCCCAGGGTTACCGGGAGGCCGAGCGCCTAGCGCGCAAATTCGGATTCGTCAACCTGGGGCAGGTGGGTGGGACCCGGATGGACAGGAGGGGGCGGGGGCTGGACAGCCCAAGACCCCAGTCCCCGACAGGCGCGAGGGCATCCCCCGAGGTATCGGGAAGCTCCAGTCCACCCCCTACCTCGACCGACTTCAGATTCTAGGACCCCCAGAAAGCCCCTGAAGCCCCTCCTTGGACGCCTGGTGGGGGCAGGATGCAAGCAAAGGGGGCTGGCGCCTGTCCTGCGGGGACTCCATCACGGGGGCTGGGTCCTAGCGATGCAGCTACCCCCCACATTCCCAGATATTCCCTGACGGGCAGTACTTCCACCTGCGGCACCGGGGCGTGGTCCAGCGGTCCCTGACCCCACACTGGGGCCACCGCCTGCGCCTGAAGAAAGACCCCAAGGTGAGCCCGGCCTCGAGGCTGCCCCCTGGGGTCTTAGCCACTCCTGTGATTCTTATGATTGTTTACGGATGGCTGTTACCTTAGCGAGTCACCTGCTCTCTCTGTCTCAGTTTTCACCTGGCTCCCCAGTCTTTACAGTGGGGACCCAGATGGGGAAGATACACGGAGAGCAGCAGATGATGCGTGAATGTGGTGCTCGCCCCAGGGCCTGGCACACCACCTGCGTTTCTTGTCGCAACCCCACCTTCCCTCCTCTATGTCACCCTAAAAGGTTAAGGTTCCCAGGTACCCCATAAAGAGGAGCAGATAATATTCTAGCTCACAGGGTGGAGGGAAGGGAAGTGGCCCAGTTTGTGATGGAGAAAACTAAGAGGAGAAATCCTGCCTGAAGTCACCCAATGAGACCATGACTAAATCGGGACCCGAACCGTCTCCAGACGTTCAGAGAGATGACAGGTAGATAGGGAAAAGGCCTGAGCCACCGAGCTGATTCGAGGCTGAATCTGGCAAGCCCACCGAGGGGTGTGGGCCGGACGAAGGTCGAGGAGGCGAGAAGCCTGCAGGTTCAAAGCCCGCCTGGAGAGGTGTCAGCAGAGCGGAGGGGGCGCTTGGAGATGTAGTTTGCAGGAGGCCGGGGCTTGGCTGCGGGTTAGACGTGTGGGACGGAGGGACATAATCCAGGGCCAGCTCCCAAGATGGGAGCAGAGCCCATGGGGAAACACTGGCCCTGGTTGCTGACATGGGGGCAGCGGGGAGATCAACCAGGAAGGAGGAAGAACAGCCCCGGGCAGGCAGAGCATGCGCAAATGCCAGGCAAGGTGGCCGCTGTGGCCACAGCAGAGAGGGGCTGGTGAGGGACAGACAGGCAGGGTGTCGTGGGCCCTGGAGAAGTGGGGGGCCATGGGAGGGTTTCGGCAGAGAGCTGACACGGGGCAGGGTGGGCATGCAGGGCGGGGAGGAGGTGTCCTGCCCCGGGCCAGAGGTAGTAGAGAGAATGGCCACTGGGGAGAGAGGGGTGCGTGGGCAGGTCCCCAGGCACATGGGGACCCAGCAAACACGGGGTCCTAGACCCCATCCCACACCACGAGGGCCCCGGGCAGACGGCAGACATGGGCTTGGGCCCTCTGACAAGGAATTGGTGGCAAGGGCTCAGAGGGGCCGGTCCTCTTGGTCTGTGGGACAGGGCCCGCCTGAGGCGCCCGGTGGCGAGGAGAGTTGGGAGGGGTGTGGCTGGCCCCGGGGGTGCAGCCCCTCCCTCGGCGCGCGTCCCGCCCCAGGTGCAGTGGTTTGAGCAGCAGACGCTGCGGCGGCGCGTGAAGCGCTCCCTGGCGGTGCCCACGGACCCCTGGTTCTCCAAGCAGTGGTACATGGTGAGCGGGCTCGGCCGGGCGGCGGGGCGGGCCGGGCCTCGCCCGAGCCCACTGACCCCCGCCCCGCCCGGCACAGAACAACGAGGTGTGGCCAGACCTGAACATCCTGCAGGTCTGGAGGCAGGGGCTGTCCGGCCAGGGCATCGTGGTCTCCATCCTGGACGACGGCATCGAGAAGGACCACCCGGACCTCTGGGCCAACTACGTGAGCCAATGGGGGCCGGGGCGGGGGCTGCCCCCTCCCACGGCCCGCCCCAGCCCCTCACACCCACACCCCACTCCCAGGACCCCCTGGCCAGCTACGACTTCAATGACTATGACCCGGACCCCCAGCCACGATACTCGACCAGTGATGAGAACCGGTGAGCCCGTTGTCCCACGGGGCCCCGAGGGTGGCCCTGTGCCCTGTGGGCGGATAGAAGCCTGGGATTGGAACTTCTCTTTGTCCTGCGCCAGGCATGGGACCCGCTGTGCTGGGGAAGTCGCTGCCATCGCCAACAACAGGTTCTGCGGTACAGGAGTCGCCTACAATGCCCGAATCGGAGGTACTGAGGCCCGCTGGGGTCATGCTGGGTCGGGTGGCACTGGGTGGCTGGGAAAACCAGGGCGAGTTAGTAGACCAGCCAGGGGAGGAAGCCACTGGACGCCCACGCCCTTGCCGCCAGGCAATGAGGAGGCCCCAGACTCAGGGTGGGGAGGGCTGAGCCCCGCACAGACCCCCACACTGCCTATCGGCGAGAGAGGGCCTGGACCAGCGGAGCCCGGGCAGGGCTCTCCCCAGAGGCCCGATGCCCACCTGTGCAGGGGTGCGCATGCTGGATGGCACCATCACGGACATCATCGAGGCCCAGTCCCTGAGCCTACAGCCGCAGCACATCCACATCTACAGCGCCAGCTGGGGCCCAGAGGACGACGGCCGCACGGTGGACGGCCCCGGCATCCTCACCCGCGAGGCCTTCCAGCGCGGCGTGACCAAGGTGAGCGGGACCCCG